GAGCCATGAGCGCGACGTGGACGCTGTCCCCCGAGCCGCTGCCGCCGTCGACGGGGCCCCCCGTGGGCGCGGGCCTGGACGCGGAGCAGCGCACGGTGTTCGCCTTCGTGCTGTGCCTGCTCGTGGTGTTGGTGCTGCTGATGGTGCGCTGCGTGCGCATCCTGCTCGACCCCTACAGCCGCATGCCCGCCTCGTCCTGGACCGACCACAAGGAGGCGCTCGAGCGCGGGCAGTTCGACTACGCGCTGGTCTGAGCGGGGGCGCCCCCGGCCGGCCCTCCGCGGGGTCTCCGGGGGCCACCCGACCCGGGCTCTCGGGATCCCGCCTCGGAGCCCAGCCCGAGGGGGCGGGGGCGTTAGGAGAAGGCCAGCCCCTCCCCGCTCAGACCCTCCCATCTTCCCTCCTGGCCAGGCCGCAGCCCCACTTGGTGCCTTTATCCCGCCCTGTCCTCGCTCCTTAACTCACCGGCCAGGCTGGGAAGAGGACCCGCCCCGCCCTCCCCCAGCGTGTAGGTGGCTCTGCTATTGTCCTGCCGCCGAGCATGAGTGTCATGTCTGTTCGTGGATGCGGGAACCCCCGTGTTCCCTCTCCCTTCCCTGTCCACTCTCTCCTCCGCCCCCGTAAGTGTGGAGCCCCTCCTTGGGCTGCGGCCTTGCGGGGCAGGCTCTCCTGGGCCCACGGGGTGGGCGCTGCATATCAGTATGCCCTGCGCAGCCTGCCCCGGAGACCAAGCCTGAAGAGCGACCATGGCTGCTGTGTCCAGGATGCGTGGCGCCTTCCGTGCGGGGAGAGCGCCGGCAGGCTCACTCCCGCCCCCAGCCCAGGCCCCAGTTAAGGTCAGCGCCCCCTCTCTCGGTCACCACCTCCCCCCCCCCACTGACCCTCCTGCCACTTCGCCCTGATCCCTCCTGCCATGCCCCCCACGGGCCTCCCCCTGCCTTCTCACTCCCTGCCTCTGAGTGATGGTGATAATAAAAGCTATTGTTGAGCGCTTACTACTTGCCAAGCAGCGTGCTGAGTTAGCGCCTCCTGCGCACGGCCTGTGCCGTCTTCAGGCCCCAGATGGTGAGCCCTGTTAGCATCCCCATTCTACAGGCGGGGGACTGAGGTCCAGGCAGCTTGAGTGACTGGCCCCTAATACGTGGCTGGATTCTAGCTGGGCTGGGATTTGAACCCGGGTCTGACTTCACGCCCTTAACGGCTGCCCAGTTTTGCGAAAACACCCAGACCCACGCTCTGGGGCGTTGAGTAACCATCTCAATCCCCCCAGCTCCAGACACAGCCGAGACCCCCGTCTTCTTTCTCTTGACTTGGGGAGACTCTGGGAGCCATGGAATGGACTTAGCCAGGTGGGGAGCTGGGCTGGGGCGCCCTCAGCCAGCCCTGGAGGTTGTCTCCGAGAACCGGCACGGCCTCCTGGCACTGTGTCCGCACCTGCAGCCCCAAACCTCTCCGAGCCTGGCCCCTGCTGCCCACCATGGGCGCTTGTACTTCTGGAGCTGTGGGGCTGGTGCGTGGCGCCGTGAGCATGGAGTGAGCTGGCTCCACTCCACAGCCCGCCTGCCCGGGGATGAGTTGTGCGCCCCCGGGGAGCCGTGTACAATGTGTGTGGGGAGAAGTGAGCACTTCTATAAAAGGAAGGCTGTGTCAACGCACAGCTCTGCGGGCAGAAAATTTACCAGCTCTCGGAGGACTGGTTAGGCTTGAAGGAAGGTGGTGTCAGGGGAGGTCAGCTGGGTCCCCGCCCTCCCCAAATCCACACGCTCAGGGAGGTTGATGGAGGGGGACCCCGCGCACGGAGACCCAGCAGCACCCCCCCTCCCGGGAATTTGGGGACCTTGGCAGCAGCAAGGACTCCTGCCTCCCTCCCTGCTCATAAGGCCCCTCCAGCTCCCCCTCCCTCTCTCCCTTCTCCACTTGCTTCCCCCAAGGCTGCCTCAGGGACTTGCTCGCCGCCCCCCATCCTCCTGCCACATGGAGAGCCCACTCCTAACCCCTGCGGGTCCCCTCCCCCCACTTGGGGCCTGGCTCCTCCCACTTGGCCACCCTCACTCTGCTGGCCGTCTCCCCTCCATCTGCATGATGTGAGGTCACCCTGCTCCGAAAACCTGACACCTGTTGGGCAGTGTCACCAAGGGTCCCCTCACAGCCAAACCGAGGTCACTCCAGGCAGCATCAGGGACCAGACCTGGAGACAGCTGCCGTTGCTGATGACAGCGCCTCCCTGGCATGCCCCCTCCTCGGTCCTCAGGACCCCAAGCTCTGGCACTTTGGGCCCCCACTCCCATCTTGAACTCAGGAAAGAGAGAGCAAGGCAGACTGACAAGAACTTTATTCACAGTTACAGGAACACAACACAGGGCTCAGGAAGGGGTGGGGGCGGTATTTGACGATGGTTTGAACCCAGCTGCCTGGCTCCCCCTCCTCAGTTCCACAGCCGAACCCCTGTACAACTCGGCTGCAATTCCTGAGACCCCTGCGGTATCGAGCATCTCAAAGGGCACCCCGCACTGTGTCCCGTGTCCAGGACCTTCCACTATGACCGGATCCTCATGACAACCCAGCGTCAGCCCGAGCAGGATTGAGGGCGGCGGGCTCACGGATGTCTGCTGTGTCCTCTGCCGGGCGGGCCCCTCACCTTGCAGGGGTGGCCGCCTGGCCCAGAAGCTCCAGGGGCACCAGGAACGGGTTCAGGGGACAGACCCCAGCTGTTTGCCAAGTGGGTCTCGGCTCGCCGGGCCTGGCATTCTCAGGGGCCTGGGGGGTGGTCTGGCCGGCCTCCTCTTGCCCCCTGGAGCCTGTCCCACCAGCCTCGGCCGCGGGCCCCAGGCTCCCACTGGTGGGGTCGGGCTGGGGGGCCGTCAGGCGCAGGTACGTATCCGCCAGATGTTCAACCAGGGCAGCGCAGGGCAGGCGGGGCAGCTCCTGGGGAAGCGCCATGAGCAGGTCGAGGACCACAGCTGACTCTGGTGACGGATAGAGGGCAGAAGTGAGGGGAGAGCGGGGCTTGCTGCCTGGGCCCTCACCCAACAGCCCCCGGCCCCATTCCTCTCACCAGCTGCGGAAAGCTCAGGGCCCTGGCAGCTGCGGGAGATGGACGACAGGTACTTGTAGATCTTCTCAAAGTCGACGGTGAAGTCTCCCTCACCCAAGGGGCCGGCGAGGGATTCGGAGGGTGCCTCAGGGGCGGGGCCATGTGTCTTAGGGGCGGGGCCAGGGGTGGGACCAGGAGCCTGAGGGGTGGGGCCAGGGGTCTTGGGGGCGGGACCATGGGCCTCATGGGCGGGGCCCGGGGTGAGACCAGGAGCCTCAGGAGTGGGGCCAGGCGCCTCGTGGGTGGGGCCAGGGGCCTCAGGGCCCGGGGCCTCCTGCCCTCCAGGGGCACTGACGAGCAGTAGCTTTCCACGGGCCTGCGTGGGCTTGGGGGGTCTGGAGTGCAGGAGGCTGATGGGCTCCGTGGCCGCGATGGTGAGCACCTGGCAGGCAGAGAGATCAGTGGGGAAAGGCGGAAGTCCTCCCACCTGCCACGCCACTGCCCTGCACTTACTAGGCCCTCCACCTCCACCTGCTCACAGAATCCTCCCTGCCACCCTGAGGAAGGATCACATCCAGGAGCTGGCCTCAGAAGCGGGGACACCGAGGCTCAGAGTGTCCAGGGACTGGCCAGAGGCACAGAGCTGGCAGGAAGAAGGGTCCATCTAGACTCCTAGGTATGGCCCTGTCTCCAGGACACCCCCGCCTGCCCGGGGGATGGCTGTACCTGGGAGAAAGCCACAGTCAGGGCTTCCTCCAGCGGGCCTGTGATCTTCTCAGCCAGGTCCATCCACACCTAGGTGGGGCAACCAGAAGATACTCGGTCGGCCTGGGGATCAACCCTCAGGACCCCCCCAAGCCCTGCCCTCCTGGGGATCCTCTGACAAGGTTATCCCCCGCAACTTCTTGCCCTGACACACCTCGATGGGGGCCGGGGTCTGTGTTTCCCGGCGCCTTGGACCCTGGGGGCCACCTGGATGCACTCTCTGAATGGCCTCCCGGGCCACGCGGCCCTTGAGCTGCCGCAGGAAGTCCCGGATCTGGGGAGAGAGGAGGAGGCCGAACGGGCCCTCGGTAAGCCCGGAGCTGGGAGGAAGAAGCCAGAGCCCACTGCCTGCTCCAGGCCGGCCACTGCTCCCTAGCCTCCCGCTAGCCCCGTGTGAAGGGTCGCAGTGACTGCTCGGGGGTGGGGGTGGGGGGTGGTCTCAGGCCAAGGCCCCCAGTGTGACCAGCTACCTAACAAGGATGTAAGGCCCAGGCCGGTTCTGGCTCCTCCCCGCTGCCAGGGCCACCCCCATGCGAAGTACCACCCTATTCCTTTCCTCGCTCCGTCCACTCCGCCCCATTGCCAGACTCGCACTTCGACCTCATGCCCGCCTACTCCCGCTGCGCCTTCCGTCCTATCCGTGGCCTCCGCTCCCGCCACAGCCTTCCCTTAGCCTCTCACCACTGCCTCCTCCTCGCCCCGCCCCTCAGTCTCACGTAGGCCCCGCCCACTCCCCGCCTTCCTCCCAAGTTCGCCCCGCCCCCAGCCTAGCGCTCGTCCCGCCCACGCCCCGCCCCTCAGCCTCTCACAGCACTGCCTCCCCCTCGCCCCGCCCCTCAGCCTCACGTATACCCCGCCCACTCCCCGCCCCTTAGCCTTTGACACGCCCACATCGCGCAGCCTTGTATCAGTCCCGTCCTCCTCCGGTGCTCATCCGGTTCCTCAGCCTCGCCCCCGCCTCGCGCATCCCAGGCCCCGCCCCTGCGCCCACCCCGGACACATCCTAGCCCCGCCTCCAGCCTCGCTCCGTCCTCGGGAGCCTCTCGCCTCGGCCTCGCTCCGGCCCGGCAGCTCCCGCGCCAGCTCGGCGGCGTCCGGCTCCGGCTGGCCCCGCCGCGACTGCAGCAGTCGTAGCAGCTGCCGCTTCTCGCGGGCGCTCCAGGCCGCGGGGCCGGTCACCTCGCCCAGATAGCGCTCCGGGGCCGCTCGCCGCCGCTGCGGGGGCTTCATGCCGGCGACGGCAGCGTCGGAGCGCCGTTTCCCTGGTGGGCGGGGTTACGGCGGCCGCTGGGGCCAGAAAGCACCGCGCAGAGGCGGAAGCAGGTGGGGGCGTGGCGCTGCCTTTGCAGGCCGGGGGGAGCCGCCTTAACGGGAACCGGTGGGGAGACTGGCCTCGGAACCGAGGCCGGGCAAACGAGACCCCCGCCCGCATTTCATCTTCGTGCCCTCCTCCGTTCCTGGTCTAAGTCTTGTGAAACTCCTGTGTGCTTTGCTTCTCGAAGAAGGGTGGGGCCTGGCCGAAGGCAGCTGTCCAGTCGTAGCCAAGAGCCTGGGCTGGGGGGTCGACCAGCCCTGGGGACCCTGAGCAGGTGATCGAGCCATGCTGGCCTCAGTTTCCTCATCTGTAAAATGGAGCTAGTAGTCCCCCTCTTGTCTTTGCTCGGGGGAGGGAGGAGCTCGGGCAGGAGGCATGTAAGGAGCTCCCGAGTAGACAGAAAGGAGACCGGAGCAGAGGCCGGAGCTTGAGGCCCTAGAGAGGGCAGGGTCCGGGATCGCTGGGGGCAGGTGGGCCGCTGCAGGGGTGGAGGAAGGGGGCGGGGCCTACTTATAACTTAACTTATAACTTAAGCTGGTGAGGTTGGTCCCTTTCTGTTTGGGACCAGACGCCCTTGGGTCTCCCCTGGCCCGAATCTGCACACGTGTACGTGGGCATATGAGCCCCGCCCCTCCGGTCAGGACCCCTTCCAGCCGAATCCCCCCAGTCCTAGTCCCAGGCCTCCGCTTCCTGCCCTCCACCGCCGCGCCATGCGCACACCCAGACTTCAGAATTCAACAGGGCGGACCAGATGTTTATTTTGGGCCCAGGTGGGACGGTGGGAGGAGGAGCGAGAGGGGGCGCGGCGCAGGGATCGTGGTCCCATCGGGTCCGAGGTCGAGGGCAGCCTGTCCAGTCCTGGTGGGCCTGGTCCGAGGCCGTGGCTGGTGCGTCTCCGAGCCCTGCTGGGGGCGCGCCATCCCTGGGGGGCGGGGTGCGACCCAGGCTGAGCGAGGAAGAGGACACCACGTAGGCCAGCCCCTTCCCAGCAGATCATTGGCCTCCCCCATCAGTCTGTGTGCCGCGGGAGGGTGGGTGCTAGGTCTGAATCTCGAATTCTCCTCGCCTAGTGCCAGTGTCCGAGGTTTGAGGATCCCGCTTGCGACACAGAGCCCACAGTCGGCCGCGGGTCACTTACTGCCTGAGTTCGAATCCCAGCTCCACCAAATTTTGTGACCTTTGACAGGTTACCTACAGAGTGTCTCGTTTTTCTCATCTCTAATACGGGGATTATAATAGTATCTACCTGAAGGTTGTTATGAGGATTAAATTAGTTAAAATGCGTAACATTCAGAACACCGGCTGGCACAGAGAAAACGCTGTGAAGGGTCGTTATCATCGCCTTCCTCCTCCAGCTGTCCGTCCTACCGTCCTCAGGTTACTCCCTCCCCATCCCCCACCCCCCCACACACACTCACCTGCCTCACTGGGGCCTCCTGGGCTGGAGGCGGCTGGGCGAGGCTCTCGGGGGCGGGCCGGGGGGTGGGGGCGCTGGAAGGGAGAGGCAGGCTGCGGAGCAGTAGGGGTTGCTGCGCGCTGGGCCGGGGGCAAGGGCGCCCCCTGGGGGCTGCTGAGGGCGTAGCGCAGGCGGGTCTATGGATGGTCAGGCCGGGCGGGCTGGGATCGCTGCGCCCCGGCGTCCAGACGCGCGGGAATAGGCTGCGGGCCGGGCGGAGGTCCCCGCGGGCGGAGGTTGGTACCTGAGTGCGCGCAGACGAGGCCGACCCCGGCGGCCAGCGCGGCGCCCAGCACGAAGGCGGCCAACACCAGCGCCACCACCGGCGCGGGCTCCAGGGCCGCCGAGGCCGGCGCGGGAGGCTCGGGGCGCACGGCTCTGCCGGGGACGTTCTTGGGTGGCCCTGCGGGGAGTACAACGCTGACACTGGGCCCAGGCCCCAGGTGTCTTCCCCGGCCCCAGGGACCCCCGCGGAAGACGACTGTGCGCTCACGTGGGGGCGGCCGCGGCACGGTGACCACGATGGGCTGCGTCAGCGTGTGCAGGTGGGGGCTGTCGGCACCCGGGCTCTCGCCGCCGCCACTGCCGGCGCCCGCGCACGCCTCATCCTGAGGCAGACACTGCGGGGAGGCGGAGGCGGAGATGGCGACGTCAGGCCCCGGGATCCAGGATCCCAAGAGATCTGAGTGTCCAGCGCTCTTTGCTACCGGGAGTCCCACCACTAGACCCCTGGAAATCTGGCCCTTTGGGGGTCCCTCAGCCCAGCCCCTAAGGTATACAAGCAGTCAGCCTCCCGGCCCGCGAGGACCCCAAATTTCAGCCACTGAAGGAGGTCACACGACCCAGCTCTGTGAGCACCTAACCTGTGAAGCCCAGAGATTCCTCCTCTTAGCGACCTTCTGCATCCAGCGCCCAGCCCTGGAGGGATCTCAGAGGCCCGCCCAAGGGACCCTAGAACCCTGCCCGTGAGGGAACTCAGTGCCCACTCCCTGTCTCCTGAGGAACCCTTGCGCAGAGCCCTACGGGCCCCTCGGGAATCCTTGCGCCCAGCCTCCAGCCTGAGAGAGACCCAGTGCCTACCCTCGGTTCCCAGGGACCCCTGTGCCCCGATCCCCAAACCCCAAGAGGCTCTTTCCTCAGATGCCAGAGGCATGTATGCCCAGCCCCGACAGGCCCTGGCGTCCAGATTCCCGGCCGTGCCCTCGCGCACCGTCGACGGCGGCGGCAGCGTCAGAGGTGCAGGCGCCCGGCGGGCTCCCCGGAGGCGGCGGCAGCGGCTCAGCTGGCAGTGCAGGAACTGCACGGAGGCGTTGAAGACCGGGCGCAGGAGGAAGCTGAAGCGCGCGGGGCGGGCGGCACCGGGGCGCGGCGGCGGCGGCGGGAAGGTGACCGAAGAGTCGGCGGGGCAGCCCCCGCGCAGCAGCGCCAGGGCGGGCCCCGGGGCCGGGCGTGAGGATGGAGTCACCGAGCAGCGGTGCACGGCCAGGCCCCAGCGCGGGGAGGGACGGGCTAGGGCCGCCTGGGGGGCGAGGCCGCGGTCAGGATCGACCGCCTCCACCTGCGCCCGCCCGGTCCCCGTGCGCCCCGCGTCCGCACCTGCACGAACACGCGGCTGTCGGCTGGGACCTCGAGCGGCCCCCCGCGGCGCGGAAAGGCGTCCTCCGCGTCCGACAGCTCCAGGCTGAAAAGGGGTCGGCGCAGCCAGGGCCCAGGCGCCGCAGGGAACGGGGGCGCTGGCGGGGAGAAAAGGCGGCACAGGAAGGACGCGCTGCCCCTTAGGCCCTCCGGCCAAGTTACCCAACTTCCTCGCCTCCTCTGCCTCCTTTGGAAAACGGGCGCAGTTGTGGCGGAGGATTCACCCATGCTCCGCTCCGCGCCCCCTTCACCGCGGGCGGGACGGCTGCCGTGATGCGCCCGCTGGAGACTCCGGGCACGTCACAGCCCAGCAGCTGAGGCTGGGCGCAAAGCTGTGCGCCCCCCGGAGGAGCCCCGGTTCCCGGACCTCGATTTCTCCACCCTCAGTGGGCGAGGACTCCCTGTCGGGGAGGGGTTGAGGGGCACCTGATGGTGGAGGGCCAGCCCGGGTGGCATCCGTGGTCCTCCCCTTCTGGATGCCCTGCAACCGAGAGGCCCGGGGCTGCAGCAGGGCCGGCTTGAGGGGATGGTGCGGGCCCCACCCTTTCCTTTGTAAGGGGAGGGGAAGAGGGAAGGTGCTCTCGCCCAGCCCTTCTGGCCCAGCGCAAGCCCAGCCCGGCCTGGGCACCAGGGTCCGGGGCTTCTCTGCTGGTCCCGGTTCCTCACTCTCAGGCTGAGAGCAGCGGCAGCAAAGGGCAGAGGCACAGGGGAGCCCCCACAGGGGCGCACGAGCGCCCCCATGCACGCACAGCCAAGTGTCTGCTTCAGGAGGCGCTCAGCTGGGGGCCTTGTCAAACGAGGTTCTCGAACATTCAGGATGGCCCGCACACACATCTCCTAAGGCACTGGTACACCACTCCCCACAGCCCAGGGCCTCACCCTGGTTGCCAGGGACTTGGAAGAAGTTGGGGATCCAAGAGAACCTGGAAATAGGGGACAGGGGCAGAGCCCGCCTCCCACCCACCTCTGCTCCCCCAGGTGGGGTGGACAGGAGGTCCAGTTGAGAAAGAGCCACACACGAGCAGGAGCCTGACGTCTGTGTCCCCAGCCCCTACGTACCAGGTGGCCGGCTGGGCAAGGCGGTCGTCCCGGGGAGCAGGCCCAACAGCAGGAACGTGGCACCCAGCATGCTGGACCGGCTGTGGCGAGTGTGCGGGGGGGGGGGGCCGGTGGCAGAGGCGCCAGCCCAGGCAGCACCCGGCCCGGCAGGTGGGCAGGTGGCCCTGTCCTTGGCTCGGTGGCCACCCGGGAGGCAAGAAGCGGGGGCGGCGCACAGAGGGGCTGACATCAGAGCCGGCGCCCAAGGCCTGCAGGGGATTAAGGCTCCTCTCCCCGCCGGCCTGTAACTCCTGGGGGTGGAGGGAGCTCCCTCACACTGGCTGCTTGGTATCCGGCAAGTTACGACAAACACCACCTCCCAGCCCCAACCCTGCCTCAGTTTCCCCTAGATGCAGAGGCCTCATCTGCCAGAACGACGCCACTCCCCTAAACCCCCCACCCCTCCAAGGTCAGGACGCCCTCCCACGTCCCACTGCCAGGCCCACGACACACCACAGACTCGGTGGAAGAAAAGGAAGGGGTTTATTCTCAAGCATCTAAGGATTTACAAACCAGGGCGTTTCGTTTTAAAAACGGAGGGGGCAATACTGGCGGCCTGAGAGGGGGTCGTGGGTCGGTGGGCTGGGCCAGGCTGCCCCAGGCCCCCGCCTGCCCGCTCCGCCCTCTGCCTGGTCGAGAGGGATGGCTGGTGACTGGTGACAGAGGGGAAGACGTGGGAGAGGCAGGGGGCCGCAGAGGCTCCCCCGGCCTCCCACTTAACACTGAAGGGGGCAGGCGGACACACACTCACAAAACAGAAAATCAAGTTAAATAAAAATAAACCCAGGCAGCCAGGCTCAGGCCCGTGCGCCACCTTCCGGCTCCCCGCTCAGGCCCCTGGGACTGGGCCCGGCGACGGAGGGAGGGCAGGGCCAGGTCTGTCGGCCCCCCACCCTGCCCCATCCCCTCACAAAGGGGACTCGGGGCAAGAGAAGGTGGCTGTCCTCCCGGGGCCAGAGAGAAGATGACTTCGAGTACGTTTTCAATATGCGGCGTTTTGTGACTATCGTGAGTGAGAGGAGTCAGAGGATAGAGGCTACAGTGCAGCTAAGTCTAGATGCTTCGGCTACATCCAGCAAGGTGCCTCACCTTTGGTGCGGTTGGTTTTTGTGGGTTTTTTTTTTTGTTTTGTTTTTTTGTTTTTTTGTTTGTTGTCCACTGGATTTGCATGCATGACCAACAAAAAGAAGACACACCCCTCCTGCTCTGGCTGCTGCAGAGGGCTGGGGGGCACATGGCCCTACCCCGGCCTGGGGCCTCCAGGCGGGCTGGGGACCGGCCGGCCCTGGGTGAGTCGAGGGGTGCTCAGGGGCACCACGAGGGCATGACTGCCTCCGCACGCCCAGCCCTCGGCCTACCCGCCTCTGTCCCTGTCACACGTCCTCGAACCCCCGCCTCTACTCCATGCACCCTCCGTCCCTGCCTCCCCGGGCCCCCCGGCCCCACTCCTGCCATCTGTTTCCTCTGTTCCCTCCCTGCCGCACTGGCGCCTCCTGCTCTCCACCTCGCCCCGTGCCTGCCTTCCCTGAAGGCCACCCTGGGTGGCCACGGCCCCTTGGGCTCCCTCCACACCCCCTGAGGTCCTCAACTCACCCCTCCAGCTGTGGCCAGTCTCCAGCCCCAAAGGAGGAGCAGCCCCCGGAGCCAGCCTTTGGGACCAGTCTCTCCAGGGCCGGGCCGACGAGCGCAGCAGCCCAGGCCCCCCGCTCAGCCCCCAGCCCCAGCCCCCCAGTGCCCGCAGGCGGGCGGGGGCTCCCCCCACAAGCAGCTCAACATGACTTTGGTAAAAGTTTCTGAAGGTACTGACGAACCCACGAGACAAGCTCTTCTCCTCCCCCCACCCCGGACACCCCACCAAGTACAATAAAATACAATAAACTCCAAAAAGGACCCCCTGAGATCAAAGAGAGAGAGAGAGACAGAGACCAGCCTGGGGCTGGCTGCCGTCGCGATGCCCAGCCCACCTTCCCATCCCCCGGCCAGGACGCCACTCAAGGGGTCCTGCCAACCGGGCGTGGAGTGGGGGTGGCGGGGGGGGGGTGGCAGAGCCTGGGCTTGGGCCAGGAGAGAGGCAGAGGCAGGGAGGGAGATGGGAAAGCCAGAGAGGTAGAGGAAGGTGACAGAGAGGGAGACGGGGACAGGGAGCGTGAGTGGGACAAGGCAGAGGGGACAGCAGAGGAGGGCGAGTGGGGGAAGGGGAGGACGGGCGGCTCTCTCCCAGCCCCTGGGGGCCGCCCCAGCCCAGAGGTTACGGCTGAATAAATATCGAGTCTGCTGGCGGCCTGCTGTCTTCCGTTCACAGTGTCTGTCGGGGGACGCACGGCCGGCTGACCCCAGGACGGGAAGGGCTGGGGCCTGGTGGGCCCGTCTGTCCACGGCTGGTGGGCAGGGAGTCGGGGGTGGCTCGGCGCCCCCCACTTTCTGTCCTCAGCCCTCAGCGGCCGTCCAGGTCCCAGGTCTCCCCTGGTGGGCAGCTGGGTGGCCGGGTGGGGCGGGGGGGGGGCCTGTGGCCACGCCCCCGGCCCCCGCGGGGCTGGCCGCCACCACGTGGCTACCTGAAGAAGGGCAGGTGGTGCTGGCTCAGGACTCCACTAGTCCGCGGCGACTCAGTCTTCGCCATGACGTCCTTGAACCAGGACGCCACGTCCACCTCCAGCGTCTCGTAGCGCTTGATGAAGCAGTGTTCCTGCGGGCCGAGGCGCGGCTTAGCCCAGGGTGGCTTCCCAGTGGCCTGCCAGGAGGGGGACGGGGCTGGGAAGGGCGGGAGGGCAAGTACTCACAAGTAGCTTATTATACTTTGGTCTCTTCCTGTGATCTTTAGTAAGGCTGGAGGGAGGGGGGGGAAGAGAGGTGAGTGCCGGGGACGAGGGGCCGGCCAGGGCCCTCCCGCTGAGCCGGGGGTCTGCAGGATCCGCAGGAAGGAGCCGCTGCGTCCTCTGGCCCTGTGCCGACAGCCGGGAAGCCTGCCCCCAGTGACAGAAGGGCCTCCCACCTGGGACGGGAGCCTGAACTGGGTGGCCTGGTGCCGGTGGCAGAGGGGGCGGGTGCTCCCTGAGGGAGACATCCTGCACAATTTAGACATCCTGCATAACTCCACTCGCTGGTGCAGGGCACTCCGAGCCCCCAGCCCTGGGCACCTCTGCTGGTTCACATCCTCCCGTGGCGAAGCCCAGGGGCCACCCTGCCAAACACCCACGGGGCCAGCTGTCCCCTTGGGCCGAGTCTAAACCCAACTCATGGCCCCCAGGGCTCGGGCTCGGCGCCCGTCCGCAGCCCCCACTCACCACGAGCCCCTTCTCCCCCAAGGCTACACCACCCCCAACCCCGGGGGCCCCTCTCCAACCTCCCGGCCGCCCGGAGCGCCTCCCAGGGCGGAGGGCCGGGGCAGGGGCTGCTCACCAGTCTTTGACAAAGGACTGGAAGTCCCCTGAGAAGCCCATGTGGCCGGGCAGAAGCGGGGGCTCCTCCTGGAGGACTTTGGTGAGGACCTCGAAGTCCGTCTTGCAGTTCTTGTAGGGAAACTGGCCTGTGGCCAGCTCCACCTGGAGAGAGAGGGGCGGGCTGGATGGGCCGAGGGCAGCCCCTACCCTCCCTCGCGCCCCCTCCGGACCCTGAGAAGCCCTCGCTCCCAGCCCTCAACAACAGGAGCCCCAGCTCACCAGGGAGATGCCCAGACTCCACACGTCAGCCCGGATGTCGTAGTCTGGCTTGGTGGGGTCCGGCGGGTCGATGCGCTCAGGCTGCCAGCAGGAGAGGGGAGAGGGGAGAGGGTGTCCCCCTGCGGCTGGGCGGGTGCGCCGCCCGGGCCCCAGGCCCGCCCCCGGCGCTGCTGGGCCCCACTTACTGCCATGTAGGCGGCGCAGCCGGCGCTCCGTGTCTTGGCCTTGGAGTCGACGAGGCGGCCGCTGATGCCGAAGTCGCACAGCTTGATCTGGCCCCGCTCGTCCAGCAGGATGTTGGAGGGCTTGACGTCTCGGTGGATCACGCCGTGCTTCTCCTTCAGGTAGAAGAGCGCCTTCACGATCTGCCGCGGGGACGACGGAGGGCACCGGTGAGGGGGGCCGGGGCCTGGGGGCCGCCCGCCCGGCCGCGCCCCTGCCCGGCCGCTCACCGCCACCGTCATCTTGCCC